TCTCGGCTTAAAAGGAGCTTATCGGGCGATTTATTGCCGCCGGCAGATAAGGTGAAAAATGCGCCGCTAACGCAGAAATAAAGAGCGCCCCGTGTAATTGCAGCCGGCGCACATAAATCAATTACTCGCCCGCCCCACGTGAGAGCGAGCAAACGAACGCGGGGCGTGATTTTATTAGCCGGCTCGATCGTAATTGGATTGCATGCACGTAATGCCGCTCGGACCGACGGAAGATGGTATGTGTGTGCATTTGCACCGACTGTCCGTCTCGCTGTGTGTGTGTGTGTGTATAAGCAGATCAATGATCGCCGCGTTCGCTCATCAGCCCACGTTGTGCGCCCTAATCTGGCCTTTATGGCTTTTGAGTCATCCCTATATGCAGTTCGACCCCATCTAGAAATATTCCGAGTGACCCAGGGTCAACCCCTATGTTGTAAGAACGAAATTTTATGAGCGTAGTCCGCTGCTATTTTCGGGTAATCACAATTACGGCGGGGGGATTTCTTGCTGTTATTCACGCCAAATTACGTTAAAGAAGGATTTCATTGCGAGAGTTGCTCCCAGAAACAGACCTTTTGCGTCTCTCCGACTGGAAATGTACGCAACGTTTAGCGTTGATAAATCAAACTCTGACATGTTTAATAAATTAATATTATAAACTGACTTTATTTGGAAGTAAATTATCAAACGTTTCTACAAGTTTTAAAAAAATTGGTGATTAAATTGAGAAAATGTGCAAAAATTCAATAAATGTTAAAACTTTTCATTGAAGAAGTGCTATATTAAATTTTCTAATTATTTATACAAGCTGCCAATGATTTGAGCAATGGGATAAAATTGGAGGAAAATATTGTAATTAATTAAATTTTATAGTTACTAATAATTTGACTGTATTTTCATAGGATTTTTAGGAATTTGGCCTTTAATTATTAGAAAAAAAGGCAACTTCAGCACCCTGCCATACATCAATTTTTACCTTTCAGTGAATTAAATCTGGGCGTTTTTCTCCTTGAAGAATTATATCTTTAAATTTTTTCAGCTTTTTTACATCTAGAATATTAGCATTTTAGGTAGCAATCTTTCTTGTAACATTCAAACTAAATCAATTGATAATACTGATTTTGAAGAACATCATCAACTCCATGGTTGCTAAAATTCAACCAAGGCTCACTGAAGTAGAAATTTTTTAACTGATTTAATTAAATTAAAATTAAAACTGCCACCCTGTGCCATTGGGATATGGAAAAATTTAAACATCAGAAATAGGATTAAATGTAAATAAATATTTAATTAACTTATATTTTCTAAAAATTCCTTGTGAAGGTTATATTTAGAGATTGATTTCAATGTATGAACTGACTTTTTACTTTGGTTATTTAATAGCTTCAGAAAAGCTGGAAACACCCCAATTTCAATTTTCAGCCTTTTCTATTCTTTGATCTGCAATCCGCGCGTACTTGCGAGGGTGCGGAGAGACATGAATTGAAGTCGGCAATAAATTGGTGCGAGAGCAATCTGAGGCTGGGTCTGCGTGGCAGCTCGGCGAAATGAACTGCCTGGCGGAATAAATTCCGTCCCCAGCCGATAAGATGCAGAACTCGGCTCGCTGACGAACACCAGAAAAGACACTCGCCGCCGGAGTTAATCGCTGATAAAAAGCAGAAAAGAGTCTCCGCACACGCGAGGGGTGGCTTTTCGCGCGCTAAGACGAAGAGTAAGTGGAGATCCGTCAGTGCGACGCGCCGCGCATTATCATTCATCTCGATCGAACGACACGAATTATTATCTGACACACACCTTTCGACTGCATTTATCACCTGATTACGCAGCTTTATTGAAATTTAATGGACCGCCCCGCGTTTTGTCCTACGGATGACTAACGAGTTTCACTTCCCAAGTTGATACGTTTTGTTTCACATAGTGCTCAGTAATTTTTGATTGACTTCCATTTTTTTATTCTTCTTCTCTTTGATCAGAATGTTTCATTTACGTAATATAACGGTGTATAATAATATTTTCATGAAAAGAAGCTTTTGACAACTGTCGATTTTTTATGTATGAGAAGATTAAGTTAAAATAACGATTATAAAAAAATTAAAATATTTTGGAATAAAATCTCTAACTGTTAAAATTTCGTCGGATTGGGACATTTTGATCCCGAAAGTTTGAGCATAATTCTTGCTAGTGCGGTGGTGCCGTTTTGTACAGCTATTTTGTTTTTTAATAAGGCATAAACAAGAGTCTGAAAAAAATTAGTAATAGAAGTGTTAATTTTGGCTCCTGTTTTTCATATTTAACTTGAATTGGTGAATAATTGTGCACTGTCAAGAGTGATTTCCAAATAAATCATCAAATGCGATAATTGGAAGAGAAAAAGTTTTTAAATGTAGATCAGTCAGCACATTAATGTAAAAAACGAATTTGTCTAAAAAGTCATTCATTAATATTCACAAAGTGTTCTTGACACTTCTTAAGCAAACGCGCAGAATTAATTTTCAATTAAGCCCCGGCCGGAAAGGGCCCGATTTGCGACGGAACCAGTCTAGTTTTCGACGTGGGCGCGTCTTTCGTGCTTTCACGCGCGCGCGAACCCTGCTCTAATGGCGAACGATACTTTCCATTAAGCCCATTCATCTTCATTACGAAACGAAACACTCTCACGCAATAATTCTCAACCCTTTCTCGTCGTGACTCTCATAATTCGGTCAGGCTCATCAGTCAAATCTCGTCTCACTCCTCGTAAATATTATATTAGCTGCAGTGGTGGTGGAGAAAAAAATTCGTGTTATGGGAATGAAAAAAATTCGATTTCACACACGCCACTTATTACTGCAGATCTTGTGTGTGTTTGAGCAGGTACCTGCAAGACTGCCGGCTATGGAACCAAACTCGGCTCTCTCTCGCCCTCTCTCTCATACCTCTAAAGGCCTCTGAATAAAACATTAGTGTGAAATATTGGAGGAGCTGCTTTACATACCCCAACAAATACTACCCCAAGTTAATGTTCTCGCCGCTCTTTCGGTGTGGATCAAAACACTCTGCCGGCGTTCTGCTTGCATGCGGCAAACTCTCGAAATCATGAGCACCCCGCCGACCGACGAGGACTCTTCTCTTCTCGGCTGCTGCTTTATCTTAATTTGATTTTGCAAAACTTTGCTCGTCTCACGCCCGCTCACCTGCAAATCTACCCCCAGCCGTGCAGGTACGCGCCAGCCAATTGTGTGATTGAGGACCAAAACTTTAATGACTATTTTAAACTTCCGTTGTAAGTTTGCCGCGGGGTTTCTTTTGAATGCATTCAAAATAAGAAAAAAACTGAGATGTCATTAAATGCGTAGATCTTATAAAGAATAATGCAATCTGAGAAGATCATAGTGGTTTGAAAAGAAAGGAACAATAATAATGAGCTAAACATTAAATTACAAATTGTTAACCTAAATAAACAATGACCAACAATTAACAGGTAAAAAAAAATGTATAAATTAGTGAATTAAATTTTAGAAAATAAAATTAAGGAACAAAATCTAAAAAAATATTACATGACAGATGTATAAACGGAAATAAGAAGGGAATTCAAAAATGAATTAGTTCACATGAAATTTATGAAACTAAAAAGTATATAATTCTATTGCGGTCTCAAAAAACGAAAAGTTAGGTCTATTTTTGAGTTTGCCTGGAATTCTATACATACCGTGCAGATCCCGTGATCCTTTTATAATGTGAAACCACTGTGTAATGATATTTAAAATCTTTATGAATATGTGTATTTTTATCTTGTTGTTTATTTTCCACATTATTGCAATTACAGTGTTTAAAGTTAAAAAATGACCTTTTTACTGGTGATATAAAATCGAATACTAAAAACAGTACAGTTAATTTTACTCTAGTTCCAAAACTAGCGAGTGAGAAAGATGATCCAGCGACTGTTTTAACTTGGTTTTGTAATGTTTGCAAACAAACACAAAGTAACATGAGAAAGGGCCAAATTTCACCCAATTTGCTTTTGCCCGGAGGGTGCCAAATAAATATACATTGTGTGTAGGCGCGCGCATAAAGCGTGTGCTGGCCTGACTGGCGCGTATAATCGTCGGAAACAAAAGGAAGAAGAATATCGCTCGCGAAAATCGGCGGCAACTTTTAGTGCAAACTTCATTAGGTGTGGTGGTGTAACGATGGAGTTTTGAAAGGTTTTTAACTTTTGAGAAAAGTACACGCCAGGCACAGACGCCGACCTTGTTTATAATCCGCGCGTCTACATTATGTGTACCCCGAGTGCCTCTTCCAGGTGACTAATTAAACTCGCATCCTCTGAACCTCGCGGGAGCAGCGAAACTTTGAGCTCTTGTTATGTTATGTGATGTGCCACGGATCCAACACTTCCTTCCTCAACACTCTCTCAACCCCTTTTATTTCTCGCCAACAGAATCACGTATTAAATTTCTCCACAAACAATGATCGATAAGCTTTTCAAAACACTAAAAAATCTCAAATACTCCATAATTTTGGAAATGAAGAAAGTCAGGCTTGTCCTCGTTGCAAACAAAATTAAACAACGTTTAAAACGTTTTGTTTTTTAATACAACATTTTTTGCAACGAGGACAAGCCCGATTTTCTTCATTTCCATGATCATCTCGAGTGTCAACTTCTTCAAACTATAATTTTATCAAAAGGAAGTATATAAATGAAATTTAATGCTGATTTAATTTCTCAGAGTGCTCCCCTGAATTTCTATTCTGATAGACCGCAGATGTATAGGGAGATTTTGAGGAGACGCGACCGCACATCTAAATCGGTTATTTTCCGGTTTTCTTATCGCGCAAATATTTGAATTCAGCCGGTGGCCCCTGCCGATTTGGACGGTTGGACGCAGCAATCCGAGTGCATCTGATAAGGCTGTGTTCCGGGCCATTAGGCAACCCTTGCTCGCGAGAAGAACTGCCTCGGCGGCCCAGGGGACTCGTTGGTCGGCCCGAATAAATTTTTCTTTCGCAAAACTCACCATTGGCCAGCTCTTCGACAGCCCTTCCGCCGACCTTCTTCACTTCGCGCGAACGCCGTCCTGAAACAGAGGGGAAACAAACACCATATATTACTGACGCTTTCAAACTTTTCCAGACGCAGACTGGCATTGCATTGGCTCAAACTTAAATCGAATTTAATAAAAATTATAATTATTGTATTAGTGGAATTTTAATTCATAATTATTACAAGAGTTAAAGAAATATTCATCGATTATATTAAAATAGAAACTAAAAAATTGAGCAATGTTGTCAAAAAATTAGCACTAATTTTTGGAAATTTCCTAAAAAACAAAAAAAAAAAGTGTGAAAATGGGATTGGAAGAATAATGTTATTTTCTTTATTGATTTACGAGACGTCATTAAGGAAAAAAACGGCTGGATAAGGCATGAATCGTTTTATTTTAGACTAAATATTAGCAAAGTTTTATTCAATAACTTTTTAGTGAAATCTTCAGTTGCTAACAAGGAAAAGAATGTATCATTATTATTTTATTTTTATATTTTTGTCGATCAAATTTTGAATCAATATGTCTGGTTTGTATAAGTCTCCTTCAATCCTTGAAGAAATTTCTGTGTGCTATTATGGTCCAGTGATTAATTTTTACTAGTTACAAACGCTGTATAAATTACCCTTGGCCGTGTCAAAACACGAAAAGGGCGGCCCGAAAGTACAATAACTCATGACAAGCAGTCGTCTAGCGGTCAGAGCGACTGTAAATTTCGCGCAATTGATTGGTGCTTAACGGAAGTGGCTATGAAGTGAAAAACGCTGGCGATGTTTCGCAGCTATGTGTGGACAATGCTTCCAAAATTGAATGTTGATTTTGAGCAGCGGTTGATGATTTATTTATGTTAGTATTGAATTCCAATAAAATCGGATTTGCTCAGCACAAAAGCTAAATTTTAAGAATGTTTATTATTTCGAACAATTTTTGAATTTCATGTTTTTAAAAGTATTCTTGGCTGGCAAAAAAACATAAGCAGTTCTCAAAGAAAATTGCGGGGAATTTAGAAAAGTTTAGGACAGGCTTATTATCGCCGCCTAACAAAATTTTCGCACCATAACTTTTTTTCGGGTAAAGCGGCGCTCACGGCAACTTTGTACGTTTTTTGAGGAAGGCAGAGCACACACACACAAATCCTCACTAACTGGATTTCTTTGGCAACAAACGTATTGCCTGGGAGCGCGCTTGGCGCGTGTGTCTTTTGCTCTTTTCCTGCGCCGCTCGCTCGCTCCTCCACTTAGCACGTCCCCCTGGGAAATAGTCACTCGCACACCAGCCCCATTATAAACATAGGTCAAAATGTGAGTCACCCCCGCACTCGCCGGGCAGCGAAATTTACACTCGCGAGAGAGCGCCTCTCGGCATTTCTCCTCCGCTATTGCTTTAATTAACTAGAGCACCTCAAATCATCCAATTACAAGAGACAGGGGAATTTGGTCCACGAAGGAAAAAATGAGAAACGCGCTCGTGACCGGAATAACACCGGCGATTTTTCATTTTCTAGCTGCACTCGCCGGCCACTTGCGGTTTGCGCCTCTTTTCTTCTCCACTTTTGTTCTCCGCTTGATTTATTGCAACTCAGGGTCAAGAATTCTAATCCTGCCTCCCAGCTGGCCCAAATATTTGTCCTCCCACGAATTTCATTCCATTTCAAAATCAAGAAATATCTTACTTTGAAGTTATTGCTTCAAGTTCCACTGTGAAATGTCATTTTTTTTACTCACAATTACATCATTTGACTTGTTTAAAAATTTGCTTCAGGATTTCGTCTTAATCATGACCTAGTTTTAGTTGCAAATTGTGTTTATTTCTCCATGGTATATGGGAATTCAATAATAGTATTATGATGTCAATTTTTCTTATATGAGTCGCATAATATCTTTATTGTCCGTATGAATGTGTTTATTAAACGGTAATGGCGTGTGACAGAATACATAAAATAAATTAAATGCAGCATAATACAAAAAACATTAAGAAGGCACAAAATTCATTTTTCCCATTTAACGTTTGAAACTTTAATAAGAGACGTATCTTTTTTTTATTAAATTTTTTAATAGAAGACGTGCTGTTCAAGTAATTAGAAATTTGTGGCAATAATAGGTAACATAATAATTATTTGTTATCATTTTATTTTCTATTAACTCGCTAAACATTGAAGTTTTACCTTCATGGTTATCTCCCTCAAGTCACTCAAACTTTTTAATCGCATGGTTTTAAAATTGAATTCGCTCAGTTTCACAAATAATCTAGATGCTATTTGAAAAAGCTATCTGCTTTTAAAATTTGTATTGAAACATCAAACACACTGGTACTTATATTTTCATTATCTTCCCAATGCAAAATGTTTTATTTTTCAATTTAAGCCATATTTTCAAATCGCAATTCTGAACGACGCAATTTCAGGGGATTAAATAACTCGAATGAAAGCACCTTTTATTTGCAAATCCGTATTGTCAGTGTGTAATGCCAAAGCACGGATTCAAAAGTGTAATACACGCGCCATGTGTGCCAATATGCCTCTATTCACCGAGTTATTTGAAATTCCAAAGCTGCAACACTCATATCCGTTTCGTTCACTTCTCACAGAAAAAAATATATAATAATTTTCCATTCTCGACGCGCCGTTTGTTATTAAACAACAACCGATGAGAGGCCGAAATTAAAATTTTTTAATATCCTGCCGCCGCGCCGTGTCTCTGTGATCGGTCGGCGGGCGCATCCACAAAGGATTTCCTCTTTTATGCGAATGTTTAATTACGCGCCCCGAACACACACACATACACTCGTTGAAAGAGAGGCGCAGTGATTATTCGTTGCTTTTGCACTCGCTCCGATTTCCAATCAAATTGGGGGTGCGTGAAATTAATGAGCTGCCGAGCGCCGCTTTTATTCTAAATAATGCGCCGCACGTCCAAAATAAGCGGTCGAAACGCCACTCGTCGCTCGCTGAAGTTGAACGACTGAATTTTTAATTAACTAAATGTCGAAGGCACGCGCGGTTGCCGCCGCCGGTTGGAGAGTTAACGTGGATTTTTCGTCTCGTTACTACGTGGGTGCGTAGCGAATAGAAATGAGCTCTGTGAGTATCATCACGCGTAGCTTTTTGTGCTGCACAATGTGTGGTTAATTAGCGAGCTTTTGTCGGGGACATTCGACCGGAGATTAGCTCCAGCGTGCTTTGTTTGTGCCCTCTCGTTGATCTAAAGGATTTTTTTATTCTTGGCAATTTAAAAATTATATTCTTGCTTGATATGCTTGGGTCAAAAAATAGTAGCACAAAAATTCAAGCCTATTAATCTCTGCAGACAAATCAAAACGTAAAAAGTATGTAGATCTGATATTCAACAGGGATTTTTATATTGTATTGACAAAAATAAAGAATGCATGAAATGAATTTTTCTAACGATTATTCTGAAAACTTCACATATATAAAAATATTTGGATTCAAATAAATTTTCTAATTTAATCTCAATCTCAATACAGTTGTAGCGCAAGTCCAATTTAAAATGCTAATTTTTTATGGATAATTTAAATTTATATAGCCTTTGCCAAATATTTAAGTCAAATATTTATAAATTCAGCGTTGCGTAAAAAAATTTATCTCTATCATCCAAATATAAAAACGAGGTTCAAAATTCCGCTCAATATATTTACGAGGTGCTTGCGAAAATTGCATTTCACGTCCACCCCCGCACGGCCTCAGGCACAGTAGCTCAAACTATCCAAGTACGTACTTGAACCAGTTTTAAAAGAACTCAATTTCCGACTCCCGGGGCGATAAAACTCGTTAGTCAATTTAAAAGCGGCGTTCGTTTGGTACGTTGTCGGAAACGGACGCGCAAAAGTGGCATGGACGGCGAGCGATTTTTTGCAGTGCGCGCTCGGGCAATTCAGCATTCTCAGGGCGTCATAAAGCAACCAGCCGGAGTCGATTTCAATCAGGCTGCGTGCATCGCTAATGGAAAGAACGGTCGGTCGGTCCGTCGGTCTCGCTCGCAGCCTCGCAGCAAATCCTATGATAAACACTGATCGAGCGTAACTTCATTTCAAGCTCTGCTGCATCCGTCCTTTCTTTTTTTGCCTCCATCAGCTCTTCTTACCGAGCGAGCAGCAGCAAATTATCATTCACATTCGATATCTACATTGTAGATTCCGCCCGTACGGGGTGAATTGCGCGCGGCTAACCGCACCCTCAACCCTCCGCCTACCTGCCTGTGCGGCTTCTTTATACGCTCGGCAAACAAGCAAACAAACGGCCGCTTCTTAAAATCAATCCGCCCGTACCCCTCCCTGACTGCAGGTGTAATTAGGTTATTTGCCTACCTGCGAGACAGAGAGCTATTGGCTCTTTCCCAGAGTGAGTCCGGCCGCAGACCAAAGGCAAATACGTCGGTTGTCCGCTACATCGACAAATTCCAAATTACAGTGATTTGCTTTGCCCACAGAGGAATAACTTTGCGTTGCGTTGGTATAAAAAAACATTAACTGTATTTGAACATGGGTTTTTTTTAACTTATTAAATAATCTAAATTAAATGTTTTTGTAACTTGATTGACTTTTTCATGTGCCCATATTCCAATGGAAATGTGAAAATTTCAATCAAAAAAGATTTAAATCACTTTACAATCTAGACGTGATTTTTTCCCACGTCGGAAAGTTATCGATTTAATGCAAATAAGATAAAATTATATTAAGAACATAACAATAAGAACCATATCAATTATTAAGAAAAATGCAATAAGAAATAGGAATTTACAAATAAAAAATAAAAAAATATTTTCATTAATGAACATATTATGCTGAAATACTTTCTTATTTTTTTTTTTTTTTTTTTTTATCTAACTTTTCTCGCCTAAACTGTATAAGAAAAGTTCTAATGTATTAATAAAATAAATAAAAATGCACAGTGAAAATTGGTTAAATTGCATACATTATATGTACAGTGGAAAGAGTGTGAGTTACTGATAAGTAATAATATAATTAACAAAAAAAAAATGTAAATAACTTGGTCCAATAAATTATCGAAGTCAATG